GAAGAAGTGTTTTTATTAAAAAATAAGAAGTAAAAATAAGTAATAAAGTAAAATACAATTGTATTGTTACAGTACTTACAATACAGTGCAGTAAGTTAGTACAGTGTTTTACAAAGTCAATCCTTTGACTTTGAACCGCGTTTTGATAGGCCCGAAGTGAGCAAAAAATCCTTTTGACAAGGAAAGAAGATAACAAGCTGATAAAACGTTAGGCGTAATTGCGCACCAAAGCAACCAAAGGTGTGCAACCAAAATTGCCTCAGACAGAAATCTAACCCAGATCCCCCCACAACCCGAATGCTAATTTGCCACGCTAACCATTCGACCAACAAAGTATCACTAGACAAACAACGTTTGTCCACAACGCAGAGTTATACCTAAGCGTTTAAGAGTCGCTGCATAAGCTCAAGCGGACTTAGAACCTCCACCTTGTGGCAATAAGATGTAATTGTTCACGCAGCTGCGTGATTCATAAAAGCGGAGTGAAGACGACCACAACGAAATGGACTGTAGAACTATAGGCAGTAAAATCCACATGTGTGTGTTTGTCCTCATGGTCTCTGTGCTGCTGTATCAGGGGTCCTCCATGGATCTATTATAAAACGGGGTCCCCGATTATACAAATCCTGGGCCGGTCTGGGCAAGTAAACAAACTGTTTACTTCCCGGGTAATCTTTGAGCCGAAATGTATTAAATACATGCTAAAGAAGGTTAATTATTGCATATACTAGCTCCCAAATCCGTCATTAATAATATACATGTTCTTATAAGAACTTAAAAAAAAACAAAAGGGTCCATTTTTGTATATATGCAGTGTGCCTGAAATGCAAAATAGCCTTTTTTTTGATTTTTCCATTTCCCTTCACAAATAGAAAATGTATTGAACGCAAAAGTGCACAAACCATTATGCACAACATTTTCTATCTTATATTTAAGACAACATGACTATATAATTGAAAGACAAAATCAGAATTTCAATTTTACTTCTGACCATTTGTTAAATGGATTAATGAATTCGATTGCTTTTGTGTACAACCTTTAGAGACCCCCTGCACGAAGCCAATTGAAGACCTTGCAGGGGCCTCTAAACCCCCCACGATTCCGAATCTTTCAGTGTGAGTTTATCACGGTGTCCTGTGATGGGTTTTTCCTCACGGACGCACCGTTTTGAGTAATGTTGGTAGCCGCAGCTGGTCATCACCTGTACATGGAGAGGCAGAAGTGACTCCAGTGTTAGCGCTTTGAAGACTTCCAAAAAGAGCCCTGAAAGGACAATGATAAGTGGGCACCACTTGCATGTGAAAGACAGATCTCCCTCGCCAGGCCTCTGAAGCTACGTAGGGCAGGGCCCTTATTAGTACCTGTGATGGAGACCTCCGTGAACCCTCAAATGCCCAGTTTTTGGCACTTACTTAAAAAGTATTTAGTATATAGTTAGTAGTTACTTCTCCCCAAAAGTAGTTACTAACTGAGATTACTAACTGAGTTACTCCACTAAAAATAGTTCCCATAACAGTAAAAAAACATTAATAATGTAAAAATATTGTTGTTTGTTTTGTTAAAAAGATTAAGTTTGAGCTTCTTTAGAATGTTCTATTCTAATTTAAGTCGCTCCAACACTTCCTTTGAACCATGGGCTGTATTTTTAATTTACTGCATTCATGTAATGTCTTTTTAAAAAGTTGATTTTATTAAGATGAAGAGATCCTTTTTGGGTCTCACAGAGGGGAAATGTCAGTGTTGCATCACCAGTTACAGAGCAGTGAGGAGCACACAGCACAAGATACATGTATTTGATATGGACACGACAGTGTTAGAGTAAAACCATGCACATGTTCAACACTTGTCCATAGAAGGCTTTTAGGACACAAATACATACATTTAAAATGAACAAATATAAAAGTATGTCATTATACGGTTCATTAACCGTGTGAACGACGTTGTTACGATTTCAGCCACAAATGAACAATAACTGTGAACTTTAGCATTAAAAAGAATATATGTATATTTATATATTTCATGTATTATTTCTTTTTCTTTTCTTTTTCTTTTTGTTTGTTTTTGTTCTTGTTTGCCATGGCTCAAAAGAGAATTACTTTGAAAAAGGTTCTTCACTTTAACCCCAACTCAATGTATATTTATATTATTAAACTTTATTACAGACACAAGGTCCAGATATATATATTTATATACATTATATAAATATAATATATATATAATAAATATGATATATGCAAATATTTATACAGAATTGATAAAGAATGTATTGAAAACATTACAGTGTAGATTAAATGACACTACCCTTAGTTATAATTCTTATATAGAAATAAAATGTGTTTTTTAGAGAAAATAACGTTAAAGCTTTTATGTGGTTTACAAAATGAATTCGGGCGTTCTGCTCTCCCAAAATTCCATCCGATGGGCGGGGGAGCGACTGAATTTTGCGTTGCATTATGGGTAACACTTGCCTTCGCAACTTCCGGTTCTCTCTGCCCGGCGCATTTTCTCTAAATGGTTGAGTGTTTTCGTCATTTTCTGTATGCAAATACATTCCCGTCTCTAACTAGTGGCATATCGCGCAAATCATCCGTCCAATTCACATTCTTCCCTCTTAGCTGAACTTCATTCTCATTGTTACCATCTGTCACTCGCACACACAGCCGTTTTTGTTCACTCTGCTCGCTGTCATCTTCTTCTAAATCTTCATAAACACCATCCGCTCGTTGAACTAGCAACAACAATTCCTCCTTTCGTTTTCCCACACTGCAAATACCCTTTCGCTTCAACCTTTCACGCAATTCAGGCACTGTCAATCGTTTGTTGTTTTCGTGAGCCATATTCGCCATTGTATGAAATCAACCGGAAGTGAACTGGGCAACAAACTGTGTCATTTTTTGATCACAGCGCCGCTCAGTGGATGAAATTTTGGGAGAGCAGAACGCCCGAATTGAGACATAAATTAATCCGTTTTTTATTTAAAGTAAATTTCAGGTGTTTTCTGAAATTGCGAAAAAGACAGAGAAGGTCTCTGGATCTCCGACCCGTTTACTCTGGTTTACTCTCAGTACTCTGGGTTACTCTGAGAACTCTGGGTTACTCTGAGTTACTCTGGGTTACTCTGAGAACTCTGGGTTACTCTGAGTTACTCTGGGTTACTCTGAGTACTCTGGGTTACTCTGGGTTACTCTGAGTACTCTGGGTTACTCTGAGTACTCTGGGTTACTCTGGGTTACTCTGAGTACTCTGGGTTACTCTGAGAACTCTGGATTACTCTGAGAACTCTGGATTTCTCTGAGTACTCTGGGTTACTCTGAGAACTCTGGGTTACTCTGAGTACTCTGGGTTACTCTGGGTTACTCTGAGTACTCTGGGTTACTCTGGGTTACTCTGAGTACTCTGGATTACTCTGGGTTACTCTGAGTACTCTGGATTACTCTGGGTTACTCTGAGTTACCCTGGGTTACTCTGAATTACTCTGGGTTACTCTGAGAACTCTGGGTTACTCTGAGTACTCTGGGTTACTCTGGGTTACTCTGAGTTACCCTGGGTTACTCTGAGTACTCTGGGTTACCCTGGGTTACTCTGAGTACTCTGGGTTTCTCTGGGCCCATAACCTGTTGGCAGAGGTAATCCAGCAGCAGTATCGCGTCGTGAACCCAAATAAAGAACTAGACATTGTAACCGAAAGATATGGAGGAAAAATAACTCAGGACACACTGCATTCCATTCATGCCATTACGCACAACCAACGTCAGCCGCGGCGTTGGAAGATTATTAACCACGGCCATCAGTAAACAGGATAAAAAGGGAGAAAGAAAACAGTTTTTCCAACATAAATACAGAGCAAACATTCATAACAATAATAATAATAATTATAGTGAGAACACAAACTCAACATCCCCATTGGTCGAACTGTTCTGTAGAAATGTATTTTATATTTAGTGACTGTAGTTTTTCCCATTGAAATGAAACACTTTGAAATGTTGTTATTGGAGATAAATAACTTTTGAAGAGATCCTTTTTGATAAAGTTTATTATTTCATGACCAGATTTCAGGATTATTTCTTGTGCTGAAACACGTTTTAAATGTTTTATTTTGTATTATTATTATTATTTTGTATTATTATTTTTATTTTGTATTATTATTATTATTTTTATTATTGTTATTAATATTATTTTTATTATTGTTATTATTTAAAAAAAATCTTTTTTTTTTGTTTATTTTTGTGTGACGTTTTATGTTCACAAACTATCAAACTATAACTATTATGAGCAACAATGTCTGTCTGTCCTGTGAGCTCCTGCAGGGGGCGCTCACACGTGTCTTTGAGTTTGATTGGAGTGATTTCATAATTCTGTTTTCCCTCAACCTCGTGTTGTAGTCACCTCTGTGTAATCTGTGCTGCAGTTGTTCTATTCGCCACAAGAACTGGTCTTTTGTCTGTTCCTCACGGATGAATAAAGTTATTTGAATTTGAATGTGACTGTGGTGTGTATTGCTCTGAACAAGGAGAGAGACCAGAGAGAGACCAGTAAGCAAGACCAGAGAGAGACAAGAGAGAACAGAGAGGGGGACAAGAGAGAGACCAGATAGAAAGACTAGAGAGAGAGAGACCAGAGAGAGACCAGAGAGAGACAAGAGAGAACAGAGAGGGGGACAAGAGAGAGACCAGATAGAAAGACTAGAGAGAGAGAGAGAGAGACCAGAGAGGGGGACAAGAGAGAGAGACTAGAAAGAGACCAGGGAGAGACTGGAGAGGGACAAGAGAGAGACCAGAGAGAGAGAGGGACAAGAGAGAGAACAGAGAGAAAGACTAGCGAGAGAGACCAGAAAGCGACCAGAGGCAGAGACTAGAGAGAAAGAGACCAGTAGGAGAAACCAGAGAGAGACCAGAGACCATGTTCCAGCTTCATGTTAGCTGTGGCGCCCTCCTGTGGCTCACATGTGAACATCGTCCTGGTTCTTGTGTCTGAAACCTTTAGTTCAAACCTTCGACAGGATGCAGCCACTGCTCTCTCTGACTCTGGGTAAATACACTTTATACAATCATATACTTTACTTTACTCTACTTTACTCTACTTTACTCTACTTTACTCTACTTTACTCTACATTCATATGACGTCTTTTATACAATATCCAAAATCAGGTGAAAATGTAAACTTTTGTTGATGCAGTTCTACACATCAGTAGATTTACCAAACACTGATCGGATTCAGTTAGAATTTAACTAACTGATGTAATTTAACTAATGTATTTATACATTTTAAACTAAGCTCTGAAAATCTCTTTCATATACTATAAAATATGAACGTTAATCAGGAACAAATCAGGTCACAGCATTTATGAAGGGGTTTGTGTCGCAGTTCGAATTCAGGAAATGTAATAATAACAACGGACACAATCTAAGACTGTAGACCCAGGACTGAGGCTGTAGACCCAGGACTGAGGCTGTAGACCCAGGACTGAGGCTGTAGACCCAGGACTGAGGCTGTAGACCCAGGACTGAGGCTGTAGATCCAGGACTGAGGCTGTAGACCCAAGACTGAGGCTGTAGACCCAGGACTGAGGCTGTAGACCAGCACTGAACACCAGGACTGAGGCTGTAGACCAGGACTGAGGCTGAAGACCCAGGACTCAGGCTGTAGATCCAGGACTGAGGCTGTAGATCCAGGACTGAGGCTGTAGACCCAGGACTGAGGCTGTGGATCCAGGACTGAGGCTGTAGATCCAGGACTGAGGCTGTAGACCAGGACTGAGGCTGAAGACCCAGGACTCAGGCTGTAGATCCAGGACTGAGGCTGTAGACCCAGGACTGAGGCTGTGGATCCAGGACTGAGGCTGTAGATCCAGGACTGAGGCTGTAGACCAGGACTGAGGCTGAAGACCCAGGACTCAGGCTGTAGATCCAGGACTGAGGCTGTAGATCCAGGACTGAGGCTGTAGATCCAGGACTGAGGCTGTAGACCCAGGACTGAGGCTGTAGATCCAGGACTGAGGCTGTAGACCCAAGACTGAGGCTGTAGACCCAGGACTGAGGCTGTAGACCAGCACTGAACACCAGGACTGAGGCTGTAGACCAGGACTGAGGCTGAAGACCCAGGACTCAGGCTGTAGATCCAGGACTGAGGCTGTAGATCCAGGACTGAGGCTGTAGACCCAGGACTGAGGCTGTGGATCCAGGACTGAGGCTGTAGATCCAGGACTGAGGCTGTAGACCAGGACTGAGGCTGAAGACCCAGGACTCAGGCTGTAGATCCAGGACTGAGGCTGTAGACCCAGGACTGAGGCTGTGGATCCAGGACTGAGGCTGTAGATCCAGGACTGAGGCTGTAGACCAGGACTGAGGCTGAAGACCCAGGACTCAGGCTGTAGATCCAGGACTGAGGCTGTAGATCCAGGACTGAGGCTGTAGATCCAGGACTGAGGCTGTAGACCCAGGACTGAGGCTGTAGATCCAGGACTGAGGCTGTAGACCCAGGACTGAGGCTGTAGACCCAGGACTGAGGCTGTAGATCCAGGACTGAGGCTGTAGACCCAGGACTGAGGCTGTAGACCCAGGACTGAGGCTGTAGATCCAGGATATATATATTTATATAATTATTGGCCTTTACCAAATGGTTGAGATGCAGCAGTTTATGGTAAAAGTGCCTAAAACCAAGCGAGAAATCTCAGTTCTAAGCTTGTGATCCACCATAAAGGGCTGTGTTAAAAGCGACCCGGGTCTAAGCGACACGCCTCACCTGCCCCTGCTCTCCCCCACAGCCCTCCCCCTGCTCTCGGCCTCCTCCATCCTGCTGACTCCACACAAACCGGGCTTCCTGCTGTACGACACGGTGTCTCTGCGCTGTGAGGACGCCCCCTGGTGGACGGTGAGGCGCCGCACCAGCAGTGGGGGGGTGCGCACCTGTCTGTCTGGCTGGGGGTCTCCAGGGGGCGCTGTCTCAGAGTGCCTCATCAAGAACCTGTACCCCTCCGACATCGGGACGTACTGGTGCGAGAGCGAGAGCGGAGAGAAGAGCGCCACGGTGCACATCCACATCACAGGTCAGCGCCCCCTGCTGGCGGCAAAGCTCGGGTCCCTGACTTTAGGGTCATTTAAAGTGATAGTCTGTAACTCTAAATTAATTACAAATTTTAGGAATTGTGTTAAATTGACCTCCTGGCCTTAAATGTTGATATAAAATAAGTCATTTTATTAATTCTAATATTACGGACAAGTCCCGCCTTCCCTTCTCTTAGCTATAGCTCAGAATCCACGGTGCTGTCGAAGTTAACCAATCGAGTCATGCCAAGGCCTGTCAATCATCGGCGCTGATGCTCGTAGCTGCTCATGATCAGTTGTTTGTTTTCACGGAACCTCAGAATCAAGCCTCATTTATATACTGAACCTATATCCATAATCATTTATATACTGAACCTATATCCATAATCATTTATATACTGAACCTATATCCATAATCATTTATATACTGAACCTATATCCATAATCATTTATAAACTGAACCTATATACATAATCATTTATATACTGAACCTATATCCATAATCATTTATATACTGAACATATATCCATAATCATTTATATACTGAACCTATATCCATAATCATTTATATACTGAACCTATATCCATAATCATTTATATACTGAACCTATATCCATAATCATGTATATACTGAACCTATATCCATAATCATTTATATACTGAACCTATATCCATAATCATTTATATACTGACCCTATATCCATAATCATTTATATACTGAACCTATATCCATAATCATGTATATACTGAACCTATATCCATAATCATTTATATACTGAACCTATATCCATAATCAGATCCTCTGCAGATGTGTCCTATATTGTTCAGTTCATGATAATTGAAACTAGAAAAACAAAAACGCACACCAAGTTCTTCTCATGAGGTGCATGTGCTGGAGCTAGTGATGGGTTGATGAAGCCCCATGAAGCCTTGAGGGATCGCAGCCTATTACTCGGCCCATGAGTCGAAGGCTCGAGGTGAATCATGCTCCACTACGCCATCATGTGGACAAAAAAATACATAACACTCTTAAGTGCTTACAATGAATGGTGAGATCTAATGTTAAAATGTATATTTACAATCTATGGTCTAACGTGTTGTGTTTTAAATGATGCTTCATGAACTATGAACTATTTGAGTCTTTCAGTCAATTGTGTTGATACAACAAACACATCCAAAGTAATACAGTTCTACAGAAAGTGATTAATGGAGGAAAAACTACCAAGAGGTGGATTAATTAAACACAACAAACCATTTATTCCCAATAAATAAATACATTTACTTTGCAACACAAAATATATTATGGGTAGACCAGGATTCGAACGCTATATCTTCTGCTTCGGAGTCCGTCATATACCGACTGCGCCACACAGCTGTTGAGAAATGTATTATCCAGCGTATTATTACTAATAACTTGAAGCCTTGATATATGAGGATTTACTAAAGTGAAACGTTTTTAATTGTATTTCATATGAAGTAGTTTCTCTATACTTTGTACAGGACTGCTCCACATCACGCACACACACGTACGCACACAGAGGCAGACGGGGACAGCCAATACAGTCTATGGTACAGCCGCGGATCACAAAGCACCTGTCAAAGCAATGCACTCTCCGAACTATATGAAGCTCTATATGAACCGTCACGTGGTGCGGCCGCTACGCGAGGCTTCGAACGTCACCAACACACGCCTCAAACCACGCTACAAAAAATACGCCCCTTTTTTACTCGGTACACGCTTCGAAGGCCCGGCACGCTCAGCACATCACTAGCTGGAACAGAAATTAAATGTATTGGAAAATACACAGCACACTCGGATAGATGTCCAAAAGATCTAGTATTTATTACGTTTCCAATACAGTTCATGATAATTGTCACGAGGTGAGATGATGGATTTAATGAAAGTAATACAAATCAAGACCTACCAAAAACACAGGGAACGGACAGAACTAAAACAGACTAGGCATGACAATGATGGAACAGGGAGTGAAGGAACACACAGGGCTAAATACAAGACTAACGAGACACAGGTGATACACATGAGGGCAGGGCTGGAGGGCAGGGCTGGGAGGGCAGGGCTGGGAGGGCAGGGCTGGAGGGCAGGGCTGGGAGGGCAGGGCTGGTAAGACAGGAAGAGCAACCAAAGCAGACACAGGGATATAACAAACTACAAAATAAAACAGGAAATAAATCTAAACCATGACAATAATAGCTTCTTCCGGGTTTGCCGCGATCGCTTTTTTTGTGCATAAAAACATAATTTTTTTCATTAAAACGTTAACAAATAATTCTGAAAACCTCTGTGCATGTGCATTACAGTTATGGACAGACGCTTAGACCAAAGTTGCAGAACTTGAAGCTTTTGTTCTAAACCTAAAACACAGACTGACCACTCCTTAAACAAATGTACTGCTTTGCATTCTACTTTCATTTCTACAACACACTTTCTCCTTTTGCAACACACTTTGTCTTTCTGCAACACACTTACTCTTGCTCACTACACACTGTGTCAGACATAAGACACTTTGTGCATATTTGCAATCCTGTGTTATCGTTGGGAAAACACATCTATTCAAAATACCAAACACATTGTGTGATAGAAAACACTGAGACACACACATGAAAACACTGACTTACAAAATGCAACACACATCAGACAGACACAAACAGATTCAGATTCAGATTAATTTATTTGCCATTTGCAGTAAAACCACATAGGAAAAACTGTGCAAGACTACCCCAGTGTGCACCAGACGACACACACCAGAGCTCTTGGCACGGCGCCATCTTTACGGCGCCATACGACAAACAGTAGAATAAACAGCAGAGAGCAATAACATGGCCTCAGTTTAGCCATTTTCAGAACTTTGCAAGTTTGAAGGCAGGAAGAGCAAGACAGAGGAAGAGGAAGACAAGGAGTTAAAGACAACACAATATTTAGAGCAACTTTTGTGGATCATGTGATAAACCATGGCCTCAAACTGAGGGAAGCAGAGAGTCCAGACAAGGTCCTTCAGGACCTTCAGTTGGAAACATGTTTCCAACGCTCTACTGCAGTCTGTATCTACAGTATTTACAGTACTGTACTGTATCACATGTACTGTAACTCTGCACTGCAGACTGTATCTACAGTATTTACAGTACTGTACTGTATCACATGTACTGTAACTCTGTACTGCAGACTGTACATACAGTATTACAGTACTGTACTGTATCACATGTACTGTAACTCTACTGCAGACTGTATCTACAGTATTACAGTACTGTGCTGTATCACATGTACTGTAACTCTACTGCAGTCTGTATCTACAGTATTACAGTACTGTGCTGTATCACATGTACTGTAACTCTGTACTGCAGACTGTATCTACAGTATTTACAGTACTGTACTGTATCACATGTACTGTAACTCTGTACTGCAGACTGTACATACAGTATTACAGTACTGTACTGTATCACATGTACTGTAACTCTACTGCAGTCTGTATCTACAGTATTACAGTACTGTGCTGTATCACATGTACTGTAACTCTGTACTGCAGACTGTATCTACAGTATTTACAGTACTGTAACTCTACTGCAGACTGTATCTACAGTATTACAGTACTGTACAGTATCAAATGTTCTGTAACTCTGTACTGCAGACTGTACCTACAGTATTACAGTACTGTACTGTATCACATGTACTGTAACTCTACTGCAGACTGTATCTACAGTATTACAGTACTGTACTGTATCACATGTACTGTAACTCTACTGCTGACTGTATCTACAGTTTTACAGTACTGTACTGTATCACATGTACTGTTTTGCAAGTTGGCTATTGCTCCTTTTGAAAAAAAATGTAGTTTTGTGAAACATACAAGACAGTAAAGTACATAAAACTGAGATATAACAGTACTGTACACATTTTACAATAGTGTTAGAAAAACTAAACCTATAGTAACAATTTGTGATTTCATATTTATACAAAATGACTAAAAGAACATCTGGAGGTGGTCGGCAACTGTTCACCAAAAACAGGCCTTTGTGGAAATTGTTAGACCATGAACCATGATCCATAATCCACACACGCACAACTGCTTAGTTTTACATTAGAGTTTTTTTGTTTTCCCCCCTGGACTGCCACCTTAACATGGTGGGGGAGTTTGAGTACAAGGATGATCCTAGGAGCTATGCTGTCTGGGGCTTCATGCCCCTGGTAGGGTCTCCCATGGCAGACAGGTCTCAGGTGACGAGTCAGACGAAGAGCGGTCCAAAAACCACCATGGACAGCACAATAAATAGACCAGTGACGTCGCCCGGCATGGCGCAGCCGGGGCCCCACCCTGGAGCCAGGCCTGGGGTCGGGGCTCGTATGCGAGCGCCTGGTGGCCGGGCCTTAGCCCACGGGGCCCGGCCGGGCTCAGCCCGAAGGGATGACGTGGGAAGTCCCTCCTGTGGGCCTACCACCTGCATAGGGGTCCGTGGTGGCGCGGTGCTGAGAGGACTGGGCGGCAGTCGAAGGCAGAGACCTCGGCGACCCAGTCCGCACACACAACATCTGGCTCTTGGGACGTGGAACGTCACCTCACTGGGGGGGAAGGAGCCCGAGCTCGTGGGGGAGGTTGAGCGATACCGACTAGAGATAGTCGGCCTCACCTCCACACACACAGCTTGGTCTCTGGAACCCAACTCCTTGAGAGGGGTTGGACGCTCAACTTTTCTGGTGTTTCCCGCGGGGAGAGGCGGCGAGCTGGGGTGGCCATTCTCATTGCCCCCAATCTCAGCCGCCACGTGTTGGAGTTCTCCCCGGTGAATGAGAGGGTCGCGTCCCTCCGCCTTCGGGTGGGGGACAAGTCTCTCACTGTTGTGACGGCCTACGGGCCTAACAGCAGTGCAGAGGACTCGGCCTTCTTGGAGTCCTTGGGAGGGGTACTGGACGGTGCACCGCCCAGGGACTCCGTTATTTTCCTGGGGGACTTCAACGGCCATGTGGGAAACGCCAGTGACACTTGGAGAG